CCCCATTCCTACCTCAACGTTCTTCTGCCTCAGCGTAACCCCTGCTTCTCCATCTATGGGGGGCACTGTTGACCCTTACCTGATCATTTTATAAGGTATTAAGTGGAATATAACGCCCAGGTGTTATTTTCGGGTGAAGACGCTATGTGGGTACTGCATGGGCAGACATGGGTAATGCGCAGTGGATTGGGTGGTACCATGTGGGACATAGCGGCACGACTACGGGTAGGTGGTACCATGGGCAACACTAAGTGGGTTTGGGGGGGTACCATGTCAAGTGGGGGGGGGGGGGGGTCTGGCTGCTCACCACATGCACAAAAGACAAAAGGGGCAACTTCAGCACAGTCACAAAAACAGCTTGAAAATATGGCCATGTATGTATTTTGCCACGTTCTAGTGGAAGATTCATTCGCATTTTGCACATCTCTCGAGTACTATAGTGCAGCGAGGCCCATACTCTTGTGGACTGGAAAGTAGTCTTGGGCTGGGGGAGGTTTAATCGGGGGTAAGTTGGTGATGCAAGGTGGGTTGGGTGGTAGAGTGCTACAATGTCTGACGCTATATGGCTGGCCGGGAGAATTCCCCCCCCCCCCGGCCTTGAAAAGGACCCCTCCTCAAAAAAAAGGGGGAGAGAACTTGCCCCCAATAAAAACAACCCAAATGTGAAAGTGCACATGGAAAAAAAAAAAAAAAAAGGTGTACATGTTGCTCGAGTCGTTTTGTTTGCAAAAGGGGCGTAGCACCTAACACGCGGCAAGACCCCACTCACAAACAGGACTGGAATCAGAGCCCTACGGAGATGCAGAGAAGGAGATCGGTCGTGATTTTTTCTGCACCTCTCCACAAACTCGTCCAGATTCAGGCCTTAAACCCAATCCACTTTGCTAGCTGGGTTTCGACCCTGATTTCATCACAATTTGAGTACTGTGTTCTCGAACACAGTATTTTACTATTTTGGATTTGGATTTGGATTTGGATTTGGATTTGGGATTTACACTAGTTTTTTTTTTTTTTAACACAAAAACAACCTTACATTATATGCCGGAAACGGCGTCCGGCGTCCCTTACATATGAACCGCAGCCATCCAGGGCTGGGAAAAGCACTCCCGACCAATCCCATCCCCGACTGCAGCAAAATCCCATCAAAAGTTACTCGGACCCTAGCCACTACTAAACAACCCTGGAATTTTGTTTATTGTGTCTAGAAGTTATAAATTCGAATCTATAACTTCTAGACACAATAAACAAAATTCCATCAAGAGTTGCTCAAAACGTTATTATCACTAAGTGGCCAATGGTTTTTGCCCAAACCGGGGATTTACACTGTTGTCTACACGTGATTCTTTTTTTTTTTTTTTTTTTTTTTTTTTTTTTTTACACGTGATCTTGACCACCCCCCAGGCAAGGTGTGCACTAAGTCTTACAAACAGAAGATTGAATCGAACACTGAATCGCCCAGTGGACGTGTTTGTGGATAGGTGCAGAGAATGGCAATTGATCTGTTTTTCTGCATCTCTGCATAAACACGTCCAGATTCAGGCACTTAAAACCACCAGTACCTTTAGGTGCAGAGAATGGCAATTGATCTGTTTTTCTGCATCTCTGCATAAGCACGTCCAGATTCAGGCACTAAAAACCACCAGTACCTTTCCCAGCCATTTTGCCGTAATGCGCAGTTCACACATGTGCCGAATTCGGCTGGCCGGGGGGGCCGGCCAGATGCGCCCGCAATGCTTGAGACGCACTGGTTAACGCGGAATCCGATCATGCCGAATTCGGTTGGCGGGGACGGCCAGTTGCACCCGCAAAGCTTCGCGCGCAGGGCTCGCAGCCGACATATGGGAACGCTACTCGCATTTTAATCCTTTTTGCTACCGTCTTCACCCGAATGGAACGCCCGGTCATTATCGCTGCATCTGGACTGCAAGTTGGGCCAAATGCAGCTATAATGACCGGGCGTTCTATTCGGGTGAAGACGGTAGTTGGACCTCCTCGCCCCTGGCCCCCCCAAAAAACTCAGCTCCAGAATCGAAGCCCCATCACAAACCAGCTGCCCTGGCTCAGTTGGTATACCCCTGAATTGTTGAAATACAGACCTGAGTTCGAACCCCACTGAGGTCAAATGACTAAAATACTACAATCCTGATTTATGTAGGGGTCGTAGGGCCGGTCAGTTTGATGATCATACCTTTTTTTTTTTTTTTTTTTTTTCCAAAAGAGATGATCATATCTCAAGGCCGTCGCCCTTTCCAAAAATAAGAAAAAAGGGAGAGGAGGAGAGCTGTCTCTTATACACATCTAGATGTGTATAAGAGACAG